CTTGATGGGATTCATTTTGATTCTATTTTGGGTGAGGAGTGCTCTGTTTTGGACGAGCCTTTTTCAGAGGAGGAAGTTCTCGCTGCTTTGAAGAGTTGTAATGGGGATAAAGCCCCTGGTCCTGATGGTTTTACTATGCGGTTCATTTTGGAATGTTGGGAGGTGGTTAGTGAAGAGGTGATGGGCTCTTTTCATGCTTTCCATGTGCAGGACTCTTTTGAGAAAAGTTTGAATGCAACTTTTATTGCTCTAATTCCAAAGAAGGGAGAGGCAATGGATGTTAAAGATTTCCGCCCTATTAGTTTGGTGGGATGTTTTTACAAGTTGATTGCGAAAGTCTTGGCCTCTAGGTTGAAAAAGGTGATGGATGGCGTCATTTCTGACTCTCAGAATGCCTTTGTGGGTGGTCGTCAGATTTTGGATTCAGTCCTTATTGCTAGTGAATGTGTTGATTCTCGGTTGAGCAGCGGTGTTCCGGGTGTTCTATGTAAGCTGGATATTGAAAAGGCGTACGACCATGCGAACTGGAGTTTCCTTCTCTACCTGTTGGAGAGAATGGGTTTTGGTGAGCGGTGGAAGAGATGGATTCTTTTTTGCATCTCTAGCGCTCGGTTCTCTGTCCTTGTGAACGGAGCTCCGACGGGTTTTTTCTCTAGCTCGAGGGGCTTGAGGCAAGGGGATCCGCTTTCCCCTTTCTTGTTCCTTTTTGTGATGGAGGCTTTTAGCAAATTATTGACGAGGGCTGTGGAGCTGGGTTTTTTGAGAGGTTTTCAAGTGGGCAGGGATGTTGCTAGTCAATTGGCAGTCTCCCATTTGATGTTTGCGGATGATACTATTGTGTTTTGTGCTGCGGACGCGTCCCAGTTGAGGCACTTGAGATGCGTTTTGATTTGGTTTCAAGTGGTCTCTGGCCTTAAGGTTAATGTTGGAAAGAGTCTGCTTGTGCCTGTTAGGGATGTTCCCGAGATTAAGATGCTTGCGCAGATCCTTGGATGTTGTACTGGCTCTTTTCCCATTTCTTACTTAGGATTGCCTTTGGGTGCTCCTTCGAGATGTGTGGGGAGCTGGGATCCGGTTGTCGATAGGTTTGAAAGAAGGTTGGCGGGTTGGAAAAAGCAGTACCTGTCCAAGGGGGGTCAGGTTACCTTGATTAAGAGCACCCTCTCTAGCCTTCCTACTTACTTCATCTCTTTGTTTCAGATTCCTTCTTCAGTGGCCGAGAGAATTGAAAGATTGCAATACAACTTCCTTTAGGGGGGGGAAAGGAGAAGAGTTCAAGTTTCACTTGGTTCGGTGGGAGCAAGTGTGCCGTCCAATTTGGTTTGGAGGCTTAGGGTTAAGGAGGTTGTTGCCTTTTAATAAGGCTCTCCTTGGTAAATGGCTATGGAGGTTTGGGATAGAGAGGCATTGGCTTTGGAGGAGAGTTATTGAGAGCAAATTTGGGGAAAGTAGCGGTGGGTGGTGCTCTCTGGCGAGGCGTGGCCCAAGGGGGGTGGGAGTTTAGAATTTCATTCGGAGGGGTTGGGATGATTTCTGCAAGCATGTTCACTTTCGAATTAAAGATGGAAGGAAGATCAGTTTTTGGAAGGATATCTGGTGTGGGGAACGCCCTCTTGCTCTCGCTTTCCCACGGCTTTATAGGATTGCTTCTCACCGACAGGCCATGGTTGTTGACTGTTATCATCTTGATAACAGGAGACTGACTTGGGATGTTCAGTTCAGGAGGCATTTTCAGGATTGGGAGATCGAGGATGTTTCTCGCTTTCTGGAGCTTTTGTATAGCCAGGTGATCTCTTTTGGGGAGTCGGATTGTTGGTTCTGGGTTCCTAACTCGCAAGGCCGTTTTGAGGTTAGATCTTTTTTTAGATGCCTTTCGTTTCATCACGGAGAACCCTTCCCATGGAAGTCTATTTGGTGTTCCAAGGCTCCCCGCAAGGTCGCCTTTTTGCTTGGACCTCAGTCCTAGGCAAGATTTTAACCCAGGACAATTTGAGGAGGAGGAATCAGGTGGTGGTCAATCGGTGTTATATGTGCTTGTGCAATGGGGAATCAATTGATCACCTCCTTTTACATTGTAGTATGGCCAGAGATTGTTGGGATTTGATGCTTGGTTTATTTGGGGTTCAATGGGTTATGCCTTGTTCTTCTAGAGGGTTGATTGAAGCTTGGAGAGGCGTATCCGTTGGGGCTTCCATTCAAGATGTTTGGAGGGCTACGCCGCTTTGTATTTGGTGGTGTATTTGGCTCGAGAGAAATAGGAGATATTTTGATGGAAAAGAGAAGCCTGTTTCTATGCTTAAGTTCCTGTTATTTGTACTCTTTTTTGCTGGGTTTCAAGGAGAGATTATAGATCTACGGAGGAAATTATTGTTTTTTTGGCCTCTCTTAAGGTCTAAGGCGCCCTTTAGCCTTTTGTTTTGTATCTTTGGTTTCCGCTCCCCTTTTTGAGCGTTTTTAATAAATTCTTACTTATCAAAAAAAAAGAATGTTCATACTTCGTGTAGTTCCTACCTACTAAAACTTAAAAGAACTAGACGTTCAGAATTGTGGAAGGTGCAATCCTTGTGTCTATTTGTTGGTCATTAAGTGAGAAGTACTCTAGAATCTTTGAAGCAAGACCGGGTCCATGCAACATAAATGATCACTAAACCTTTTAGTGGCTTCATTTCTCCTTTTGTTAAGTATTGTGTATTTGTCAGGATGACAGGCATTAGTGCCTTGAGACCTTGGCTCCATTAATAACAAATATTTTCTCTACCACCTTCATCAAAACAGCAAAATGCAATTCTCATCACCCTTCCAAAATCACCCTTGGAGTTCAGGCTTCTGCCTGGCTGACTGGTTGAGGCCCTTATGAAGACATACCCATGAAACTTTGAAATAAATGAACCAAGAAAGCCTTTTGTCCGAATATTCGTCACTACCCTCTATCCCTAGGAAGAGGCTTCTTTCTCATTAGGGCTGGCAAAAAATGACCCAACCCATCAACCCGCCCAAATCCGCCCAGTAATTAATGGATTTGGGTGAACCATTAATGGATTTGGATTGAACCACATTCAACCCCTGTGAATCACATGTATAAACCACCACCACCTATAGAAACAGTTAACCACCTACCAAAAGGAACCCTAATTATTCAATCTTGTGCGTCTCTCTCTCTAGCCGCTCTATTTGCATTGTCTCTCTCTCTAGGCGTTTTCTCTCTCTCTGGGTCGCACTCTCTTGATTCACCTCTTAGATTGATTTTTTTATTGTTTATATGTGTTGCTTTTGTTAGATATTGTTCAGTGTTCTCTTTCAGTTCGGTTGATCAAGTATTAGGAGCTTTTTACATGTTCATTTTCTGTATTATTAGTAATTATGTGTAGATTATTTGACCTCCAACCAATTCATTTTTCAGAGGCAAAATATTGGTGTCTACCTTATGTGAGTCCTTATATAAATTTAAATAATTTTTTTTCGTATAGAAAAAGTGAATCTTTGTGTTCAATTGACTCTGTAAATTATTCTTATAGGAAGATTTTCCTGGTGGGCTTTAATCTGTTTTTATTATGATAATTATTTTCCAAGAAAGGACATTGACATTAGCCCAAGTTTAGAATATATTTTTCAAATATTTTTTTTAATAAAATTGGTTCCTTTGTAAACAGGTTGGGTCATATACATGGGACAGCCTTTCCAACTTAAACTTTTATCTTCAAACTTCATAATTAGCGTTTTTCAAAGATTTTTGTAAAAAAAAAAAAAAAAAAAATAGTCGGTTCCTTTGTAAACGGGTTGAATCTATTGTAAATGGGTCGGATCTATTGTAAACGGGTTGGTTCATATAAACGGGTCAGCCTTCCAACTTAACTTTTATCTTCAAATTTCGTAAAATTAATTTCCAGAAAGGTTGTTGACATTATCCCAATTTAAGAATGAATTGTTCAAGTTTTTTTAATAATAACGCCGGTCACTAGGTTAACCCGATCTATTTTGACTCAACTCATATTTGACCCACAACAAACGGATTAAATATGGGTTATAATCCATATTTGACCCGTCCCAAACCCAACCCAACCGTCCTGTTTGCCACCCCTACTTCTCATTAATGAGATTCTAAGGAAACCCCTTCTTGTTAGGAAACCCCTTGGATGGCTTTGGCAAAAGGAATTCAAAGAGAACCTGTGAACTTGCTGTATCAGTGGTTATTATATTCTATTTTGTTCAGGGATAACAAAGTGACATGTTCTAGCCTTTCTGGGTTAAGCCGGAAAAGAAGCTGTAGTGAAATGATACTCAGACCAAAGTGCTATTTCTTGGGCATTGGATCAGCAAGGGTGTGATACATGGATCAAGAGAAGATGATCAGTCATTATAACGCAAATGCTTGGAAGTAATTGTGCCATCTAACTCTTATGAACCAATAAAAAAACATATTCTCAAAACTTATGGCCCTGTTACTTTAGAGGAATCACAAGTCCACAGAAAATTTGAAGCAGAACTCTCTCAGCTCAGAAACCTAAAAATAATGTGTATCAAAATTAAAACCATAGTACCAATAGGCATCTTGAGGTTTTGGAAAGACAAATAGAGGAAACAGTTCGAGAAACTCCTACTGCCTTCATATTTGTGCTGTGACTTCTAGATGCATAACAATATGAGATGAAAGAAAACAATATGTATGCACTGCAAAAAAAAAAGTAGGGGGATAGATAGAGAGTGAGAGAGAGACACACACAGAAATTCCAAAGTACAGATTAGCCATACAACCCCACTAATATCTGAGTTTGCAATGTGTTGATAATAAAAACAAAAACGTTAAAAAGATATCCAACAGAGTTTTTGGAACAAAATCCATGATTCCCTTATCCTGGAAATTACAAATGCATCCTTAACTTTTAACCACATTTATAACCTAAATTTCACCATCTAGCAATTACTAGAAGGGCCTATCAAAAAGGAAAGGGAAAAAAAAAGTTATAGCATGCTTACAAAGTAAGTGGAGAATTAATTCATACCTGGTTCATTCTCCAAGGATCAGACAGCAAATTCTTTTGGTTCTCTGCATAAGGGAAGAGATATAGATAGATATGTACACACACACAAGTATAGAGAGAGAGAGAGAGAGAGAGAGAGAGAGAGAACAGCAATCAACTGTGATTCAAAGTAAACTGGATATGAAGGCATTAGACTAGCTCCAAAAATATAAATGCTAACCAGAATCAACTGCTTTTATTTCCCTCATGGTTGCATCAGGTGACATCAATGGTTTGACAAAGAACTGTGCAAATCTGAACAGCAAACCAAATGAAAACATAAGAACCCAAAGATTTGGGAATAAAGAGAAGAGACAGCCAACACAAAGGAAAACAGCATCTACCTGTCCAAGGCCTCTTCGAAACAGTCGTTGTTAACATCAAAGTGATAGTCAGTATGCTCAGAAGCTGTAAAAGCATTTGTGCTACCTCCATGCTAATAAATGAACATAAATAAATAAATAAACAAATTAACAGGGAAAAAAAAAAAAAAAAACACATGGAATATTAAAAATAACAATTTGAGTAAGCAATATCACAAAAATAATTCACTCATTATGCAAAGGATGAAAAGGTGATCTAAGGCCAATATAGCAATGACCAACTGGCCATTCTGAATGAAATGAGTCGCACTGCTTCTTTTCAAATCTCCCACAATGTGCTAAGGTACTGTAGGTATTAGCAATCTAAAGGTTCCTTTTTTTTTTTGTCCCCTTCTAAGTGCAATCTAGAAGTTTTATTCCATACCTATCATATTGTGCTTAGAAGGTTGTCACATTTCCTTCATAAACTGAATGCCCCAACTCTAATTGTGGAGACATTTGAGATGATTTTGGAGCCAGCCACCCATCTTTCTACCCTCTCTCATCATCCTTGTTTTGTTCTTTTTTACAACTTCCTCCTTGTTCATCTTTTCTGTTTGGTGTCTCACCTTGGAAATTGCAGTATTGTACTTGATTTTAAGCATCTATTTTGTCTGTTAAGAAAAATTGAAAGTCTGCACCATTAAGTAACTTCTAATTCCTCCCTTCTTACTTTTCTGCCTTTATGTCAAACCATTTTTCCTTCCGGAAAGTAAAGGATATCATCATTGAACATGAGATGCACACGAAACAGAAATTATACGACCCTATTATGTGGGGAAAAAAAAAAAAAAAAACATTTTTAAAAAATGTTTAAAACAAAAGCTCAAAGAAGGAGCAGGGGCGGAGCTAGAGAGGAGCCAGCAGGGGCCACGGTCCCCCCAAATGTTTTCCACTTTGTTATTATACCCTCATTAAAATAGTTATGTTATATAAATACACTTACTTGTGACCTCTAAAATTCATCTAAAATTTTAATTGCCCCCACAAACCAAACCCCACCCCACAAAAAAATAAATAAATAAATAAAATTATCAAAACACTTATTCATCATCCCAATAATTATGAATTCATAAAAAAATATAACTTGTGTCACCTCAAAACTCATATAAAATTTTAATTCGAACCTTTTAGCCTACTTTTGAAAGCTCAAATCTTGTAAAATAAATATATAAGTTCATTGTTGGTAGAATTTTACAACAATATATCATTGTTTTATTAACATGTACATATACACAAGTATAATATCTATTATAAGAATTCAAGAGAGAGAAGAACAAATTATTCTAATGTCTCCTTGTATTTAATAAAAACATACAAACCTTCTTTGTAAATCAATTCATGAGAAGTAATAAAAACTAAAATGTTTAAAATATTGTGATACCAAGATAACAATAATGCCAACAACAATAACATATATTTTTTTTGATAAATAAAATTTTATAAAAAACGCTCAAAAGGGGAGCGGATCCCAAGAAAAATACAAAAGACCACAAAAGGCCTCAAGCTTCAAGGAGGCCAAAAAATCAACAATCTCCTCCAACGATCTATGATCTCTCCCTGAAACCCAACAAAAAAGAGGAAAGAATCGAGAATTTAAGCACCGAAATTGACATCACCTTCCCTTCAAAATGTCTCATATTCCTTTCAAGCCAAATACACCACCACACACAAAGCGGCGTAGACCTCCACGCATCCTGATTGTGAGCCCCCACAAGGCAACCTCTCCATGCCTCAATCAACCCTCTAGCGGATCCAGGCATAACCCAAGAAAACCCAAATAAGCCAATCATCAAATCCCAGCACTCTCTAGCCAAAGAGCAATGAATGAGAAGGCGATCCACTGTTTCCTCATCACGAAGACACATATAACAAAGATTGACCACCACCTGGTTTCTCCTTCTCAAGTTATCCTGGGTTAAGATCCTACCCAGAATTGAAGTCCACACAAAGAAAGCCACCTTGAGAAGAGCCTTAAAGCGCCAAACAGACTTCCAAGGAAAACGAACTCCGTGATCAATCGAGAGACACCTGAAGAAAGACCTCACCTCAAAACGCCCCTGAGAGTTTGCAACCCAAGACCAACAATCCAAATCCTCCACCACAATCCTATGGCGATACAACAGCTCCAAGAAACGAATGGCCTCCTCGATCTCCCAATCCTAAAACAAACGCCTGAATTGAACATCCCAAACCAATCTTCCACTATCAAAGTGATAACAGTTAACCACCATGGCCTGCCTATCCAAAGCAATACTGTAAAGCTGAGAAAAAGCGAGAGCGAGAGGAACATCCCCACACCACACATCCTCCCAAAAACAAATCCTCCTCCCATCCCAGAGGCAAATCTAAGTAAGAAATGGAAAAGGAACCAGTACGACAACCAAGAATGTCAGTAAAAGCCTCAATCTCAGGGACCTCCCCAACCGGCACCAAAACAGTCTTAGCAACATTCACCTTAAGGCCGAAGACAACTTGGAACCAAATCAAAACACATCTCAGATATCTAATCTAGGACACATTCGCATCACAAAGAACTAAAGTGTCATCAGCAAACATCAAATGAGAGATCTCCAACTGTGAAGCAGCATCCCAACCCACCCGAAAGCCTCTCAAAAGACCCAACTTGGTAGCCCTTTTCATCAATCTACTAAGGGCCTCCATCACAAACAGAAACAAGAAGGAGGAGAGAGGATCCCCTGTCTCAAGCCCCTCGAGCTAGAGAAAAAAACCCGTAGGAGCACCATTCACAAGAATCGAAAAGTGAGCACTGGAAATACAAAATTTTATAGCTACTTCTCATAGCTACTCTTTAGTTGTCACGTGTTAGATGACAAATTTTATAGTTACTCCTTATATAAATTATATAAATTATTAAAGCACTTTTCTATTTTGTTCCTGCTAACTATGTTTTGTTAAATTTTGTTTAAGTTAAAATGCCATATTTTTCTCTTAATAATTTCATCAAGGTAATAATGACATATTTTCTCAAAGTGGAATCAAAGTAAACAATTGATGAATAAAATTTAATTCTTGAGCAATGTTTTTTTCTTTACAACTTCTTCTTTTACCAATAACCCATCTCTTCCTCTTCTTTATTTATTTATTTTTTTTCCCTTTTCATATCAGTTTTCATAACTAGTTCATTTTCCTCCTCTTTAGAATTGTGTTTTTTCTCAATAAATATACTAATAAGAATAATATAATATAAAAAAATTGTATTCAAATTGATTTATAAATTTTTCAATTTTAAATTATATAGTATTAGTTCACTAATCACTAATCACAAGCATGAAGGTTCTTTAAAAGGACACAAAGACATGAAACAAACCCCAGGTTGCACAACAACTAGAGAAGGGAGAATAAAATGAATGTTTTTAGAATGCAAAGCATTACTAACAAAAAAAATCAAGGAGGCTTGGTTACATATAACAAGTAATATAAGCAAGTACCTCCGTGATGTATTTACAGTAACTATCCTCCAAAGGATACTTTTCGCTTGCGTAAAACAGCATATGCTCTGCAGTACAACACATTTAAAATTAAAAGGCAATTCTCAAAAAGTAAATATAGAAACAACAGCACTTCCCTAAGCTAAAGCCATAGACACCAGTCAAGGGTTCTGAAGTACCACTAGACAAACCAAAAGTGTTTGAGCATTAAGATCCCCATGTGCAAAGGACAAGGTTTATGCTAAAAAAACATGAACCATTATCTTATAACAAAACAAAGAACTGAAAAGCGAAATAAACTAAAAAAGAGGAATGGGACAGATGTGAAAAGATGCTGGAGAAAGACAAAACTACCAATATGATTCAAAGAAATAAATCAGGCATATATGAAGATCTCGAATATATATATATATCAAATAATAGATAAAATGTTGAAATTTGCTCGACTTCAAGCGAGACCCACATAAGACCTCTCGAAATCAAGTTTTAGCTTGACTCAAGTCATATACATATATATATATATTTTTGATAAGTAAGATTTTATTAAAAACGCTCAAAAGGAGAGCGAAGCCCGAAGAAACAAAAGAAAACAAAAGGGCCAAAGGGCACCTTAAACCTTCAGAGAGGCCAAGAAAACAATAATTTCCTCCATAGATCTATAATCTCTCCCTGAAACCCAACAAAAAAAAGTAGAAATAACAGAGAACTTAAGCATAGAAACAATAATTTCCTCCATAGATCAAGTTGTGATATTGATCATCATTTGTGGACTTCAATAAATTCATGTACTTGTTAATGTCCAGTAGTTTCCAACTATAAAGCCAAGTCTATACATAGTTATGTAATGTTTTCACTTCCATAAGCCTAATCCTTACATATATAGACATTTCCCCTAACGCCAGAAACCTTTTTCGTATTTGCACCTCTCTATACAACCAAACCCTGATCATCCCAGCCCTTCCCTTTACCTTTAGCAGAGACTGACTGTATTTTCATATTTTTCCTATATCACGACATAATCCTAGTTTGACTCCAAAATAAGCAAATATGGTAGATGATCTTCATGCATAGATCCTCACCAATGAGCCTTTTAGCAAAATCTGGGTTCAATAATTAGCATAGCAGCCTTTATCATTAAAAATTAGAAAACATCCAAATTCTCACAGGTTAGGATTACAAAGCTAGCTCAGACACTCTTAAATGTGGAAAACAACTAGAATAGTCAAAGCTAAGTAAGTGGATGTACCAATATTGAACAATATTGGAAAAGGGAAGTCCAGAATATATCCGGAATTTCCCAAGGTGCCAATGCTATGTATTAAACTAGACATCCAAACCAAGGTTAATGCATGCAAGGACTTGGATGAGCTCAAGCCATCTCTGCTGATGCCTGCAAGCTGATGCTAGATTTTGCACCTCCATGCACCAATATGAGGTCAAACCTTTACATGAAAAGAGAGTGGGGTAGGAATTACCAAAGTAAAATGTTGACAGTTGACACAATCCAATACTTAAACATCAAGGCAAAGAATTAGACACGCTCTTCTACAATCTATGGCAGTAGTATATGTGAAACCATGTTAAGTTACACTACGTGCATGGCTGGCCAACACCAATTCTAGCCCCTGCTCACACAAAGGCAGTTGTAGCTGCTTCAGCTTCAGCAATTCGATTTTGAATACACTTTTCACCTCTAGGCAACAGGTATGAGGTCAGAAAGTAGAAAAAAATACTGTCAGGCCAGTCTTGGTCAAACTACATCACGGAGTAACAAATTTTGAGTTCAGAAGTATTGATGCAAGTAATTTATTTATTTTTTTTTATTTCTTTTTTCACGGGAATTCCCGATATATAGGAAAAAACATCATCGCTAATGGCAATTCAAGCGCGTCTGCTAAAAGTAAACAAATTTTCCACTAAGAAATTCACATAAACCCTAAACCCTATGGTAAAATATCAAATTGACGATTTTTACCAAGAAAATGAGCAAGGCCTTCGAGACCCTCGGGATCGCTAAAAGAACCAACACCGACATCCATGGCAGCAGCACTCTGAACAAGTAGATAGAAATATCAAGATTGTAAATCTTGAATCGAAATCAGAGTATTTAAAAAAAAAAAATACCCTAAAGATTGAAGAAATTGCCTGACCTTATCGGTATCAGGATCACTGATAAGCAGGACTTCGAGAGAGTTCTTGAGGACGATCCTTCGATACTCCCTGTTGTCGTTACGAGGCTTCACTGTCTCCTCCATGCCCACAGCCATTTTCTTCCCTCTTACAAATCTTCCCAGTTGCGACACCAAAGTCTCCAATATAAGGAGAAATCTGACTCAAAAGTCCTGATCAAGAGGGTGTATCTTATGGACCGAGTCGGTTGACACCGACTCTCTCGCATCCCAATTCAGTGGCTTTTATGCATTAAGGAAAATAAAATCTCTCACGCCGCCATTTAACTTCCAAATTTGAATTAAAATAAGAACCCTCACTCTCTCTATTTATAAAATGGTGCAAAATGGTGTAGATTTTTGGCAAAATTTGTATTTGCCCTTGATGTTCTTGATTCTTCAAAACTTCATGTTATTGAATTTGTTTGGTTCATAGATTAAAAATATTTTTACCTTTCCACAATGGAGGATCTTGCGAGTCGGAGCAAAGAGAGTACCACATAGAGTAACATATTGCAGACCTAAACGAAAATATTATCGTGGTTGTTCTCACATTGAATTAATTCTCTAGATCAATCCTCAAAATTGACTTCAATGTTTGGATTTAAAAGAGAAAACACATATCCCTCTTTCACATAAACAAATACTCCTACTTGGTTTGCTTGATATAGAGATTATAGAGAGAGAAAGTTGCTACAGTTTGCTTAGTAGAGGGAAGAACATGATACTTGTCTTCCTCAACGACTTTTTGAGAGAGTTGTTGAGGACGACCTTCGATACTCTCTCTTGCGGGTTGCGACTCCAAGTCTCCAATAAAGACAGAAATAGTCTCCGGACTAATATAGAGAGTATAGAGAGAGAAAGTTGCTACAGTTTGCTTAGTAGAGGGAAGAAACCGACTTTTTGAGAGAGTTGTCGAGGACGACCTTCGATATCCTCTCTTGCGGGTTGCGACTCCGAGTGTCGAATAAAGACAGAAATAGTCTCCGGTTTGAAGTCCCGATGAAGAAATAATTTTTTTTAACCAAGTCGGGGGCAACCGACTCGGTTATAACGAGCACTGCCCGCTTTCTGAAATATTCATGATAAGAAGTGAACGAGTGTCGTGTGGAACGGAACATCCGATTTGGCAATAAAAAATAAAAATAAAAAATAAAAAAAGTAAAGTACAGTCACACTTACAGATTTGACAAAAAGATACTCAGATAAAATTAACCTAGTTTGTGGGCAAAGATACCCCTGACGATTCAAAAATATAAAAAAATATCCCTTTCTATGAAAAATTGACCAAATTACCCTTTGACCGTGTAGGAGACTTTTTTAACTTTATAATTTAATATATTGTTCATTTATTTATTTTTTTATTTATTTTTTTATTTTTATTTTTTTACTTTATAGATGTCCCAACTTCTTAAAAATGCAGACGTCTAAAATTAATTTTTTGATCCAATACATATATTTCAAATAAATTATATTTTGTTATTACTTCTTTTCTTTTTCTTTTTCTTTTTTATTTTTAAATTAAGATGCTTAATTCTTTCATCTAAAAAAATTAAACCAATCTCTTTTTCTTAAAAATAAAAAATATGATACTAGTATAACTTTATGCATCTTACATTATATATCAAATATTATATATATCCCAACGTAAAAGGGAAAAAAAATAATAAAACAAAGGGAAAAAAAATAAGAAAACAATGGGAAAAAAAAAAAAGGCATGCATAAAGTTAAGATGCATAAAGTTATACTGGTACCTATTTTCTTTTATATTGAGAAATGCATAATATTTGATATATAATTTAAGATGTATAAAGTTATACTGGTACCATATTTTTTATTTTTAAGGAAAAGAAATTTAATTTTTTTAGATGAAAGAATTAAGAATCTTAATTTAAAAATAAAAAAGAAAAAGAAAAGAAGTAATAATGAAATATAATTTATTTGAAATATATGTATTGAATCAAAAAATCATTTTAGACGTCTACATTTTTAAGAAGTTGGGACATTTATAAAATAAGTAACAAAAAAAAAAAAAAAAAAAAAGTGAATAATATAAAGTTTATTTTTATTTTTTTTATGCATAAATTATTCATGAGGGTAGATTGGTCTAATTTATTAAATTGTAAAGTTAAAAAAAAAAAAAAAAAAAAGTCTCCTAAACGGTCAAAGGGTAATTTGGAAAAAATTTCATGTAAAGGGGTGTCTTTGGTCATTTTTGAACCTTCAGGAGGTGTCTTTGTCCAAAAAACAGGTAAGTTTCCTCTAAGTATCATTTTGCCAAACCTCAGGGGGTGTGAATGTATTTTACCAAAAAAAAAAAAAAAAAAAAAACAAAGAACGGAACATCCGATGATACAGAGTTGATCAAGATGTGACTCTTGTAACTTCATTTGTGTTATTTAAGTAGGGACGGCAAATTCCCCATCCCCGTTGAGGCCCCACCCCGCCCCGTTTATTACTGGGATGGGGGACCCTTTTATGTAAACGGGGATGGGGATAAATTGTGAAAACCCGCCCGGGCCGGGGATGGGGTATCCCCGCCCCGCCCCGATTAAGTGTGTAACTACTAAAATACCCTTACCTATTTTATTATATTTACTAAATTAGCCTATACTATATATATACCATATATATTGAAACCCTAAAATCTTGTCTATTTTTAAACTGAGGCGGCAACCCAAGTCACGGCCTCCTTCTTCCTTCATCATTTTCTCTCTTTCTTCTCCTAAGAATCGACAACAACATCGATTCTCCCGCGTCCTTCCGAATTCGTCTCCGACATCGATTCTCCCGCGTCCTTCCGAATTCGTCTCCGACATCGTTTCTTCCGCGTCCTTCCGAATCCGTCTCCGGCATCGGCTCTTCCCCCTCACCGGTATGGGCTCCTCCCCCTCACCAGCGTCGGCTCTTCCCCCTCGGCCCTCACTGGTATATGCATATGTAAGTGTGTATATATATATTTGGAGTGTTGGATTTTGGATCTGTGGAATTATGATTTTATTCATTTATTTACTTTTTTGAGTTTATTCCAATATTTTACAATGTTTATAGTCGTAAGGCTGGAGTTATCCCATCAAATTATTAGAAAACCTATATATATATAATGGATCAAATCATTTTGGTTTTGATTGAACTGTGAATTTTTTTTTTTTTTTTTACAATTGGAACTGTGATTTTTTTATTTCTAATCCTGGAGCTGTGATTTTTTTATTTTAATCCTGGAGCTGTGATTTTTTTTTTTTTTTTTAATCCTGGAACTGTGATATTGAGAATCAAGAGAACCTAATCGGGGGCGGGGTGGAACGGGGACGGGGCCGGGGATGGGGGTGGGATTGAATTTTTTAATGGGGATGGGGGTGAAATTTTTAGCCGGGGATGGGTATGGGAAATGAGATCCCCACCCCACCCCGCCCCGATGCCATCCCTATATTTAAGCATTTAATCTATAATTATTTTATAGGGATAATTTCACTTACCTCCCTTGAGGTTAGACGTAATTACAGGCAATACCCTTTACGTTTCAAAAATTACATTGTCCTCCCTCAAGGTTTGCTTCGTCGTAACACTTAGCCCCCTCCGGTGAAAGTCAACGCCGGACAATGATGATTTTTGATGACATCAGCTATTTTAACCATGTAATACCACATTTGCCCTTACTATATTTGCAAAGACATTTTAACCCTAAGTTTTGTATTAAAATAACCTATATACCCAAGAAAAAAAAGAAAATAAATAAAATAAAATAAATACCCGTGAACTCATCTTCATCTCTTCCAAGACAATGAAAGGGATTGTTACCGGGTTCAGGCTTAGGTAGAGATACTTCAACTGGTTAAGCCAGGTTAAGAGCCGATCCACGGGTCCGATTAATTGGTTCCAAGACAATAAAAGGTACTGTAGTGAAGGAGGGAGTGAAGTGGGTGAGAGAGAACCGGAGAGTGCGTTGTGCTTGAGGTCGACGCGGGTTAAGGTTTATGACGCGAACGTCAGGACCGAACCGGAGAGACGATTGTGACCGAGAATGACGTTTGACAACGCCGGTAGACCTGCGACCAACTGAGGAATACTTCTATTGATTTGATTGTAACTAAGATCGAGGGTTCGTAGAGCACGAAGCTAATCTAGAGTTGCCGGAATCCCACCGGAGATGAAATTCCTGCTGACGGCGAGAAACAGTAGGTTGTTCAACTGACATAAAGTTTCAGGCAGAGCGCCAATGATCCGACCCGTGACAAAGGTGAACTCGGCGAGAGCGGAGAGTTTTTCGATTGAAGGATCAAGGCGTCTGGTCAGACCAGGCGAACCGGCCCTTGGGTCACCGAGATTCAAAGCGATGACCCAGTCTCCGTCGCAATACACGCCGGTGAAGTCGCAGGGCTCCGCCGTGAAATCCCATATGGAGAAGAAGTCCGATCCCCGCATGTCTTCTAGGGCGTTTCAAAGCGATGACCCTGTCTCCGTCGCAACCTTTGATTGATATATAGTTCAGGGATCATCCATTTGACATAGAGGGGCAGCCACCCTTTGAAACTCCCCCATCTCTCTGAGCAGCGAGGCTTATTCTTAAACTAATGAGCTTTGAAACCCTACACAAAATCAAGATTGCAGTTGCAGAGAGAGAGAGAGCAAGTTCAGAGTTGAGAACGAGAATAGAGATGGAGGCGACTGGGGAGGCTGAAATGATTTGCCCTAAAATTTTATATATCTATATATATTTTACCTTGATTGTGATTTAGAAAAAATAATTTAATATACTTTACTTTTGGAAAAAATATATATATATAATAATAATAATAAAATAATTTAATGTGATATTAATAAAATATTAGGGACAATATGGTAATTTCAAAAAATATATATTCTTTATGTGATATTAATAAAATACTAGAGGGTGTTTTAGTCATTTAACATGGTCAATGGCCGGAATAAAATGTCGATCAGTTTGGAGGGAGGTCAGTGTAATTTTTGAAACGTAAGGAGTACCGCGTGTAATCAGGCCTAACCTCAGGAAAGATAAGTTAAATTATCCCTTATTTTGTATGAGCTGTATTACACGTGGCATGTAATAGAACCCATTTGTAAGACTCAACAGCTGGCTAATAACACTTTGCCACGTCGTGACTTTTTTTTTTCCTCTCCAAAAACCTCAAAACCTTGGCTATTTCTAGGCACTATTTAATAATGTAGAGACATTTTGAGTAAAATCTTGAGGGTGACCTTCTTGTTATTTATTTCTATATTTGGAGAACAGTATACAATATCTAAACTTGAAAGGAATTGCAGACTCTACCCAGCTTCAATTGATTATCAAATTGGTAAGATTGAAATTGATGACGTGCTCATTCTCGGATTTTCCACTTTCTAGGTCCATTACTAGTAAATGGGAGCTGCTGTCTTTTGAGGGCAAATTGCTCTTTTGTTTTAGGATGGGCTTGTCATGGGGTATCTTGTAATGTCTTATTTAGGCTTTTGCTCTTGCTTGCCTTAATTGGGCCTGTACATTTTTTTTCTTGTTTATTATCTCGTACAATTAACTTTTATCATTCAAAAAATAAATAAAAATAAAATAAAATAATTACACAAAGTTAGAAGTAAGTTTATTTGGATATTGTCATAATTTCAGACCAACAATACCTGGAACTAATTATATATTTTTTCTCCACTTCATTTGCATCGTATTTTTTTTTCTCCACTAATTATATTCTCTTTTACATTCATCACCATATTTTTAATTAAATAAAAATATCAAAAAAAAAAATTTAAAAGTAAAATTCATAATTATTGTTAATCAAGTTAATACTTTGCAGGTATATTATAAAGTTTAGATTCTACTCCCTTTTTTTCCTAACCATAAGAACGAATATGCGCACACATATATACATATTTATCTATATATATATGTGTGTGTGTGTGATATAATAAAGTTAAACTTGTCATATTCTGAATTTTTTAATCAGTCCTTTATTTATTATTCTGAATTTATTTAATGTTTATTTGAGCTTAATTCGCACATATAATTGATTTAAAAATTGAATCAAAGAAATAAAAGAAATGAGAACTCAGGGAGCATACTTTTCATGTGTGTGTATGTGCACCGAAGTGTAGTTAAAAGTGTGTTCAGGAGGTGTTGAGGTTTTGTGTATGTGCTATTATATTTTAATGATTTAAAGCTTCCTTAAGAAGCTTTAGGGATAACATATGGTTATATATATGTATGTATGTGAAGATGAAAGTATTATTAAGCTTTGTGCGACATATGTCACATAAGCTATGTGATAATCTCCATTTTCCGGAGACTAGATTTACATCATCCATGTGGAAGGGGCGATTTGAGAGATATGTTCGTATATAGTTATTAAGTTTTTTTTTTTTGGGAAAGTTGATCATGAATGTTTTGGTGTGGAATTGTCAAGGCGCGGGGTCCTCCCAAACAATGTCTCAGTTAAGGAGGTTGATTTCTGAGGTTATAACCTGTTCGTGGTTCCCTAGACAGGCAAATCGGGTGGTTTGGTTTTACTTTATACGGACCTGTGGGAGATTAAGATTGTGGATTTTGCGGAATTTCATATTACTTGCGAAATCATAGGCTCCACGGGAGGTGATTCTTGGTTTTTTACTGGTGTTTACGTAGCTTGTGAGGAGAGAGAAACGGCTTTACAGTAGAGATATCTTTATAGCCTACAGTTTCAGTTAGGACCTAATTGGATTCTTGCAAGAGATTTTAACTCAATCTTACATCAGGAGGAAAAGAGAGAAGGTCAGCCGAAATAGGGATGGATGATGCGAGATTTTCGTAATCTTGTTTCTGATTGCGGGCTGATTGATATTGGCTTTCAGGGTTTCCATTCACTAGGTGCAATAACAGGGAATTGGACAATTTTATTATGGCTCGTTTGGATCGTGCTTTATGTACCTCGACTTATATGAGAAAGTTTAAACATTGCTCTCTGTCCCATCTTTCTGTTATGGGTTCGGATCATATGGCTCTGTTAATTTGTTTAAACATATCTCTATTTCGGGTTCGAAAGCAGTGGCATTTTGATGCCAAGTTGGTTCAGAAGGAGGATTTCCATCAAGTTGTGGCTGAGACTTGGAGGTTTCCAGTGGTGGGATCCAAACAATTTTGTGTTAAACAAAAATTGTTTGCTTGTCAAAGGAAACTAAAGCAATGGAGCTCCAGGTCAGGTTTTAATGCTCAACTCAATATTCAGAATATTTAGAGTCAATTAACTGCTGCGAAAGAACATGCAACTGGTACTAACAGGGACTTAATAAAGAAGTTAGAGCTGGAATTGAGTGCGGCTTGGCGAGATGAAGAACTCCATTGGAAGCAAAAATCGCGTATCGCCTGGTTGAATCTGGGTGATAAAAACACAAAGTTCTTTCCCCGGAAAGCTCAAATCAAATGACAAAAAAATACAATTATGGGGCTAGAAAATCCCAATGGCGATTGGTGTGATTCAAAAGATTATATCAGAGATGTTGTGGAGTCCTATTTTAAAGATCTTTATACTTCACAAGGAATTCGAAATGATACTGATTTCTGATCTCTGGTTTAAAGGAAAGTTACTAACCAGATGAATGTTGATCTGTTGAAGCCTGGAACAAAAAATGAACTCTATGCGGCTATTGCGTCCATGGGGGCTTATAGGGCCCTGGGGTTGGATGGTCTAACCCCCCTTTTTTATCAATCGAATTTGAATGCTCTAAAAACTGATGTTGTTGAAGGTTTTAATTCCTTTCTCTCGAGAGGTCATCTGTTGAAGTCATTGAATCAAACCAACTTGGTTCTTATCCCAAAAATGAAGAGGCTAACTAAAGTTTCCCAGTTTTGTCCAATCGCTCTATGCAATATGATTTACAAAAATTTTTCAAAGGTCATTGCCAATAGATTGAAAGTGTTTCTCCTTAAACTCATCAGCGAAAATCAATCAGCTTTTGTTCATCATCGAATGATTCAAGATAATGTCATTCTTGCTCATGTGCTTATTCATGTTATGACGACAGAAAAGAGGAAAGAAAAACATCTTGCTTTGAAGCTTGACATGGCGAAAACATATGATCGGGTGGAATGGAAATTTCAAGAGACAATGTTATGATGTATGGGGTTTGATGATAGATGGATCTCACTGGTAATGGACTGTGTTAGCACGGTCGCATTTTCAATGGTTATCAATGATGAGAAAGGCAGTTGGTTTTTTCCTTCAAGGGGGCTTCGACAAGGTGACCCGTTATCCCCATAATTATTCATACTTTGTACGGAAGGTCTTTCTATATTGATGACAGATGCTGAAAAGAGACAAATGATTAAAGGTCTGGTTTTGGGCCCTCATTGTGAACCAATTTCTCATCTTTTTTTTGTGGATGATGTGCTTTTTTTTTTGTAAAACAAACCTCTTTTAAGCTGCGCAATTTAAAGATCTTCTGTGGAAGTATGGTTCTCTTACTGGGCAGATGATGAATTTTGAGAAATCTAGCTTGTATTTTAATTCTAACACTAGCACCCATTTGAGAAAGCTCTTACATAACATGTTGGCAATTGTGAATGTGGACTGGATAAATAGGTATTTGGGTCTTCCCTCCCTTTTGGGTAGATCCAAAACTGCAGCCTTTAGTTATCTAACGAATCAAATTTTGGCAAAGGTGAAGACCCTAAAAGGTGTTTTTTTGTCCAAGGCTGGGCGTGAGGTGCTGCTGAAATATGTTATTTCAGCCCTTCCAAATTATTCTATGCAGTGCTTCCGTTTACCCCAATCAGTTCACTCTGAACTGAAGAGTGGAATGTTTAATTTCTGGTGGAGTGGGAAATTCAACTCTAGTAAAATCAAATGGATAAGCTGGGATCAGATGTGTCGACACAAACATAGGGATCTTGAAGCTTTCAATTTGGCCATTTTTTCTAAGCTTGCCTGGCGACTTAAAACTGGAGAAAATTCTATCTTATGTATAATTTTGAAACAAAAGGTATTTTCGACATAGCACGTTCCTAAGTTCAATATGCAAGAATGGGTCTTTGTTCATATGGAAGAATCTCACTGATGCTAAAAGTGTTATTGAGAAAGGGCTTAAATGGAGAATAGGCGATGGGAAAACATTTTTTGTTGGGATGATCCGTGGCTCTCGGGCAACTCCAATTTTAAAGTTTCTACTCATCCTCGCTCTGATGACATTTTTCAGGTGAGTGATTTAATTGATCCGGATAACAAATCATGGAAGGCAGATGTTATCAATTGTATTTTTTGATGCCCATGATCGAAAACGGATTTTACAAATCCCTCTTAGTTTATCTGGGAGGGAGGATACCAAAATTTGGGGTATGGATATTTCTGGGGAATTTAGTGTAAAAAGTGTTTATTTTCTCGTTCTGTCATCCTTCAAACCTCCATTGGTTTCTTCCCTTAGTGCGGAGTGCAGTTATTCTTGTTGGGATCATATACCCTACAAGCCAATTATTTATTATTTATTTAATATTTTATTAATAAATATGATATTCATGCATTGGGCTTTAAATATGATATTAATATATATCATTGACAACCACCAGTGGACAACACACATGCGAGTGGGTGATTAAAATAAAATAAAAAATTATCATATTTAAAGCCCAATGTATGAATATCATATTTATTAATAAAACAAATAATAATTCCCTTTTAATGTGCGACACCCATTATATATATATATATATATTAACTGTTACTCGATCACCATCTCATGGTTAACAGATCAAACAAATAATAATAAATAAATAAAAACATATTCATGAAACAAAGAAATAAAATTCATGAATATAACATCTATAAAAGCATAGATAATAACCAATTATTCAAATCATCACTATGATTTGATGAAAAGCATGCGGGTCGCTCTGATACTAATTAAAAGCACAACGGAAGCATCTAAAAATTTCAGGAGCATATCCACGTGATTTTTCAACAAATCAATAAATACTGTAAAGGGATCTCATACTTTTGGATGATTAAATAATCGTCGTATTCAAAAATAATATAATATACAGAGTGTGAGAAAAGGTTAAGGGGTTCCACAAACCTACCATTGGGGTCATAGAGATGAAGACTCATTAGTTTTCAAGGCCAAAGAAGAAAGTGAATATTATTTTCGAATACGACGATTATTCAATCGTCCAAAGGTATGAGATCCTTTACAATATTTATTGATTTGTTGAAAAATCACGTGGGTATGCTCCTGAAATTTTTAAATGCTTCTGTTGTGTCTTCAATTGGTATCAGAGCGACCCACGTGCTTTTCATCAAATCATAGTGATGATTTGAATAATTGATTATTATCTATGCTTTTATAGATGTTATATTCATGAATTTTATTTCTTTATTTCATGAATATGTTTTTATTTATTTATTATTATTTGTCTGATCTATTAACCATGGTTAACATGAGATGGTGATCGAGTAACAGTTAATATATATCTATATATATATATATATATATATATATATATATATTAATATCTATTAGTTCCTGCTCGCCCATGAGATGGGTGTCGCACATTAAAAGGGAATTAATATATATATATCATTGACAACCACCAGTGGACAACACACATGCGAGTGGGTGATTAAAATAACCAAAAAAAAAAAAAAAAAATTTTGATTGTATCGGCGGCTGCACATTGGCAGCAGTTTGTGATCTTTTCTCTCCCATGCGATGGGTATCGTACACACACACACACACACACACACACACATATATATATATATATATATATATATATATATATATATAATGATGGCTGATTGTGGAGTCAATATTATTTGGATTACCATTTGCTTTCCTTTTATTTATAAATATAGATTTATATATAATGTTTCAAAAAAGGTAGTCAAAGGTAATGTGATTACGTTGCTTTCCTTTTATGTATAAATATAGATTTATATATAATGTTTCAAAAAGGGTAGTCAAAGGTAATTTGATTACATTTGATATTCATATTTTAAATAAAGTAATGATTACTTTAAAACAGTGAGTTTTTCATTGTTTGGATTACAAGTAAATAATGTGTATACCGTGTGTTTATTTATTTATTTATTATTATTTTTTTTCTCCTTATGCAATCTGTTAAGGAACTAAATTTACATACGAGTATACACATATTATTTGTATGCATATTAAAATTTGATTGCAGGTGCAGATTAAATAGTTAATCTCTCTCATGGCCCGGTTGAGTTTTAATTTATTATTTAATTATATGTGATGTAATTAATTAATAGAGGCGGCGTTTTAAAGGGCTGATCCAATAAGGGTTGGTTTTTCCCTAGCCAAATAAGGGTATTTTATTTTATCTTGTTTAGAATTTTTGTAAACCCTAAATTGGGTATAGGACAAAGCCTTGTACTATATTTATTAAATTTATGGTTGAAGTTCTTGAAGAGTTCAAGAAAGGATTCAAACAAGATAAGAGTCAAAGGCTTCCAATGGAGGAATTTGGAAGCACAAGGTGATCATGAGATGATATTTAACCGGCCATGAAAGGGGGATTAGTACTATTAATGGTGCAACATGATTTTTATTTGCATGCTTATATTCATGTGATGGTCTAAAATCATAAATTGCTCTAGTAGTGTTTTAGTTAATTTTAAACTAAATAAAATTGGAATTATTTATTTGGATTGTTTTGGGAAAATTAACACTTTCCAAAATATTTTCAAAATTTTGATTTTTTGAAAATTAAATATTTTATTTTTAATTAAATTTATGGAAAGTGTAGGAGTATCCCATAGTTAAGCTCAAAAAATTAAGCTAAGTTGACCCAAATGGATTAGGCTCATTGAGCCTAAAAGAAATTTGAAATAGATTCCAATATTATTTAGATTAAAATTAATATTGTTTTATGATGACATTATGCATATGATGTATGGAATTTAAAACTCTTTAATTTCAAAAGTTAAGTGGGAGCGGAATTTAATCTTAAATTTCACAGCCTTTTATTGCTGATCTATTGCAAGGTGGAACAAATACCTCGCCACCAATCTTGGGTGCTCCTCCGGAGGGCATTTGTTTCACTGGTTATTAGATATAGATTTCGCAGGATAGAACTAGCGGCAGGCGGATGGGGACGATCACCATTAGGAGACGGACCTCTCTCAATTGCACTACTTCTAGACAATGGTATACACTTGACTAAGTGGGAGTACGCTCCACCTCAGAGGGTATTTTCACTTAGAGGCCAAGGATAAATCGGTTGCCATATTTCATTTGGCATGAGGTGCCTAGACAGTGGGATATGGTGAAAATTGTTTCTGTCTAATCAAGGTAGTGACATGATCTCTTGGTAGTGGCATGTTCTTATTGCCCCCTGAGAGAAACGAGTGAATACCTACATGGATTATGATTACCGATATTTTCATTACATCAGCGGTTTAGAGAGGCCCACTGAGAGACTATATGAAAATTAAAGTTAATTATTGTTTCTAAATGTATGCCCTTTTATTTATGCATGAATGTCTATATTTCAGATGTCGAATATTATCAATCCGCTTGCTTCCACACTTAAGGACAACAAATTAACTAGGTCGAACTATGTTAACTGGAAGAAAAATCTTCACACTGTGCTCACTCAAGAGTGCCTTCCTGCACTTAGCCCTAATGACATACAGGAGCACAAAGAAATTCATTCTAGTGCTGGGGTTGTCAAGGTTAAGGGCAAGAAGCAGGATAAGTCCAAAGGGAAGTGTTTCCATTGTGGCAAGGAAGGACACAAGAAAATGAATTGTCCGGTATATCTTACTAAGAAGAACTCTAAAGATATTTTTCATTTACTTGTTGCTGAGACATGTTATGTGGCAGGATCTACAAATACCTGGTGTGTAGATTCTGGAGTCACTAACCATGTTTGTAATTCATTGCAAGGGTTCCAGGAAACCAGAAAGCTGAGTGATGGGGAGATTTATCTTCAACTTGATTCGCAAGCAAAGGTAGTAGCAGTATCAGTAGGAGTGGTTATTTTAAAAATAAATGGTATGAGTTTATTATTGGAAGATTGTCTTTATGTACCAAAAAGCATAAGAAACTTGATTTCTATTTCGGCTTTTTCAAAATCTGGTTTTTCAGTACTATTTGATTC